CCTTTGGGAGGAGCCCCTGGGGCTGTGAGGGGCCGTGAGGGGAAATGAGAGGTTCTATGGGGCCATGAGAGGTTCTATGGGGCTGTGAGGGGCTGTGAGGGGAAATGAGGGGCCATGAAGGGACATGAGGGGCTGTGAGAGGTTCTATGAGGCCATGAGAGGTTCTGTGGGGCCATGAGGGGTAGTGAGGGGCCATGAGGGGCTGTGAGGGGCCAAGATATGTTCTATGGGGCCATGAGAGGTTCTATGGGGCCATGAGGGGTTGTGAAGGGCCATGAGGAGCCTCAGCCCTGGCAGGAGGGGTCCCACCATGTCCCCAGGGCAGGGCAGCCGTGAGGGGCCGCGAGTGCAGATGTGGCAGCAGAGTGGGCTTGGGGCCCCTCTGGGAAAGGATGAGGCATTTCCCCAGCTCCAAACCACACCAAGCCCACCATTAAAAAAGATTTCCTGTCTTTTGAATCCACTGGCAACTTGGAGTTGATTGTAGAAGTTTAATCCCAGTGAGAAAAGCAAGGGAAGTTTCCCAGTGAGTGACATCCAGCCATTTTTATTCATGTCTAAGATTTAAAAGTCTTAACAATGAAAAGTAATACTAATAAATAATAATAACAACAAGCATTCTGAATCCAAACAATCAGCTCAGAAACATGTTTTTGTTTGTAATAGATTAGTAGTAAAGAAATAAATTGAAATAGATTTCATTTGTAATTCAGACATGTTTCATCCTTTTCCCAGTTTCTGGTCCCCTTTCTCCAGGGTCATTTCCTTTACTCACCCACTTTCTAATAGGTAGAAGGGAGTTAAGCACACTGGAAAAGACAACAGCTCCTGTTTCCAAGGGAAGCAGCCACCACTCCAGGGAACCTGAATTGCCCCCAGGCTCGTGTGTGCACTTGAAGGGTGAGCAGGTGTTGGGGACAGAGATCTCAAACTCCTTCTAAGGCTGTGAGAAACCCACAAGTGGCAAAGTATCATTGTGGGTCAGCTCCTGCTGAAATTCCATTCCCCCACACCCTCCAAATGGGCAGGCAGGGCTGGGCTCTGGCAGGGTTCAGTTTTGAGTGCCTTGTGATCCCTGGCATGGAAGTGATCCTATGAACTCTGGTACTGATGGATTGTGGAATGGCTGCTGAAGGAGGAGGGGGAATCTCAGCAGACAGGAAAGTCTCTTCTTCTCCTGTCTCCCTGCAGAACCCCCTCTCCAAAGAGAAATGCCTGTGCTGGGTTTCCATGGCACCCCTTCCCTCAGCCCAGTGTCTGAGCCACTGTGTGCTCTGCAGGAGCCAAAGCCAGAGGAGTCCCAATATCAGTCACCCCACGGTCCCCACACAGCAGGAGAAAGCACTGCTTGCAGTGGGGCTGCTGATCTGTGACCCGTCCTGGTTCCATCCACCCCACTCCTCTCAGCCACAGGCACCAGAAGGATCCCAGGAAAGCCACAGTGCTCTACCAGATGCCAGGAGCACTCCCTGCTGTGGCCTCAGGAACGCTGGGTGACCTCGTGGATGAGGATCTCTGGCTGGTGATGGAATGTGTGGATGGAGGCCCTTGACAGGAGGTTGTTGGAGACACGCGTGGAGCTGAAGGAGAGATGGCAGCTGTCAGTGGGGAGGGCAGGGACCCCGCTTGTGAGTCCATTGCCTTGGACACCCTCAGCCACAAGATGTCCAAGAAGTCACACAAGGCTTTGGCACTCTCAGCCTTCTTTCCCCCAAGTTCCAGCTTTATGTGCATTTACAGTAGAGAACCTTGCTTGTTTCTAGAACTAGAACAGAGATCCCAGAGGGAACAAGCCTTGCTGGTTTTAGTCAGAAGCAGCAGTGACCAAAAGTTGTACCTTCTTCGGCTCGGTCACATCTTTGTTCCTTCTCAGTGTTCAGGCTGGGCTGTGGGGTGTCCTCATTTGCTGCATTTTCTGAGCTCCTCTTGGATCCTTTGAGCAGTAAGTTGTGCCCTCTGAGGATCCTTTGTGCTCCTTGGTGACCCAGGAGAACCTTCCAGGTGGTTTTTGGGTGAGCTGCTGTTGTGATGTCACAGGAATGTTGCCATGTCCTTGTGGTGTTCCCATTGCTGTGGGGCACAGAGGCCTCAGTGTCAGAGCGGCTCTGGGCGCCTGCTCATTGCCTGAGAATCCTCCTGCCTGAGGCATTCTCAGCAGCCAGCCCAGCCCCTGACGGGTGTCCTTCTGTCCTGGCAGGGGGACAGACAGTCTGCAGACGTGTGCAGCACAGCCAAAATGATCCAGCAAGTGGTTGCTGCAGTTTGCACTCTGGACTCTGGGGCTTCTTATGGGTATTTTTTAACCCACTGGGCCCCTAAGTCGAGGATTTCCCCAGGTGCACCTTTGGGATTGCTGTGGGCTTTCTGTTCTTCCTTTGGAACAGAGGTGATTTTGAAAGAAAATTGCTATTAAGATGCCATTTATTTGGGAAAGCTCCTGCTAACAACTTCTTAAAAAGGGGGTTGTTTGTAGCCAGCAGGGTGTGCACAGCATTTGGAATGTAGCCTGGGGGGGTTCTGTTCCCCAAGAGGAGAGTCTGTGGCAGTGGACCCTGGCACTCCCTCCATTTGCTGGTCCAGCCAAAAACTGGACACAGCCTTGTATTTTGTGCTGTTCTTTTGCTTGCTTTGATCCAAAAGGACTGTGACTCCAGGAGGGAAGTTGTGAAAGGAAAATGCTCTCTCTTGGCATTGACGACTTGTGTGGGATTTTCCAGCAGAGGCAGCTTTTTCTTCTAACAGCATCTGGTTCAGGTGAAGGTCACCTCACACATGGACACTGGGAAGCTCCTTCTTCAGAGAGCAGGAAAGGACCCTTTGGTGTTCAGAGATCCCAGTTGTTCCCTTTCAACCCCAATATGAGCCCAGTAAGCTCCAGTATGATCCTTGTCACATGGCAGCACTCCCAGGATGGTCCCAGTTGCCTCTGACTAGATCAACCCAGTCACCCCCAGTATGGGGGATGATGTGCATGGTATGTTCCCAGTCACTCTCAGATACTCCCAGTATGGGTCCAGTCACTCCCAGTATGATTCAAAATTGGATTGCTGGGAGGCTTCATGGAATCCTGGAGACCATTGTGACACTCTAGGGCCCCCTGGAACCATGGTGACACCAAGTTGGCTGGGAGTGTTGATGTGCTGCAGGGTAGGAGGGCTCTGCACAGGGAGCTGGGCAGGCTGAATCCAGGGCCCAAACCCAACAAGGTGAGGTTTAACAAGTCCAAGTTCCAGGTCCTGCACTTTGGCCCCAGTGAGCCCTGCAGTGCTACAGTCTGGGGACAGAGTGGCTGGAGAGTTGCCAGGCAGAAAGGGACCTGGGGCACTGTCCTGGTTTAGGGCAAATTTGGGAGAAAACCTCCAATGCCCCCC